AAAAAAAAAAAAAAAAAAAAAAACAACTGTGCCATTTCATGACACAGGTTTTCCTCAAAGACATATGACCTTTCAGAAATATTTGTTTAAACAGCTTGATAGGACTCCAAATCTGACACTAACTTGCCATATTCTGATATTCAGAAATCGATTGGATGGCACATTTGGCTTTAACACTATGAAAACAGATCTGGAAAACCTGAAAAACAGACTGGACCTTTCAACAACAAGACTAATAGATCCAAATATCAATACTGATATGCCCAAAGAAAGAGTGACAGTTTCATATCCACCTTACCCCATTTGATTATTTAGCAACATTTGGCAGGGGGTTTCATGAAGACATAAAGGGTAGGGCTGTGCAAAATTTTGCCAGCAGTTTTGTTTCGACACTGTTTTGACTCGTTTTGAGCTCGAAACAGTGAAATTGAAACAAAACAGAGAGCTTCAAAACGAAACGAGGCTAGTCGAAACATTTCAAAATGTTCGAAACGTTTTGCATTTCAAAGCTCAAGCTGGATTTGCCTGCAGGGAATCAGAAACTAAAGTAAGGAGAGAGAGGGGGTTGGGGGGGGGCGGGGAGGACTGCTTTCATTACTGACTGCGTAGCTGGCCTGTGACTGTCATCCTTTCCTGAGGTCTCTTCCAATCCCAGTGCTCTGGGGGAGGGATGGCAAAACTACAGAAAAGGCAGCATTGTTTGAACTGCCCTGCTTTCTGCCTCAGTGTCAGTCGAGTGAGGGTGCACCTTAACATGCACACAGTGTCACCCACCCATGTTGCGAGTTTTGCCTGTCAGCAGCTAGAGGTGCAGGGCCCCAGAACCCAGACTCCCCTTGCACCTATCTCCTTGAAAGCTGACAGGCTTTGTGGCTGCAGCAGGGCCTAGAAGGCCTGCAGTTTTCACCCTGCTGTACCTTAACACACACACAGTGTCACCCATGTCATGAGTTTTGCTTGTCTGCAGCTTGAGGTACAGTTTCCCCCAAACCCCTGCACTTATCTCCTTGACAGCTGGCAGGCTTTGTGGCTTCAGCAGGGGCTAGCATGTCTGCAGTTTTAACCCTGCTGTGGCTTAACACTTACACGTGACATGAGGTTTTTTTGCTTTCAAGACATTGAGGTGCAGTTTCCCTGAAATCCCAGCACCTATCTTCTTGAAACTTAGCAGGCTTCATGCCCTCAGAAGGGACTACCATTCCTGCAAGTTTCATCCAAATCAGGCCAGAAATGACAAAGTTATAGGCTGTTTCAAGCTTCCCCATTATAGCCTATGGGCGAAACATCGAAACAGCAAAACTGTTTTGACGAAACGAAACGGAACAGCAACTTTGAATCGAAACAAAATTTGAAACAAAATGCCGTTCCACCAAAACACAAGTCAAAACAGAACGGTGCTGTTTCGCATAGCCCTGGTAAAGGGTAAAAATAAAGAGCAATATATGGATCTAGGCTAGTATGAAGGTGCTGATCAATAGTTTTGGATCACTGCTTCTCTGGGACAAAACTCGAGGCACATGGAGTTCTCCTTCAAAACAAAGAGCAGGGTCTCCGGACTTTTGGAGTATTGACATGGCCAAGTTTTTGAAAAAGCACTCGTGCTGAGATTGAAATTGCAAATGAGACAGCCTGCCAGGATGTGTCCTTCCACAGAAAATGGAGAGCCCCAGGTGCAACATGATATGCAATGTACCACTCCCAAGGCTTGACAGTTTCTTGACATAAACATCAATAATGAACTCCCTCTTATTAGTTGATACACTACATGGCTGTGGTGACGCGTGTCAAAATTGATACCAATTTGTCACTGATTTAAGGAAGATAAATTGCTCCAAATGCCAAGAGATTAATAAACCTTTGTCTCTCTGGATTTCCAAAGTCTTTGTGCTTACAGATGGCACACACAGAGTTCTAACTGAACAGCTCCACAGATGAGAACCAATGAATGGTGTAAGTTCCCTGAAGGTATGAGTTTCCTGAGTTTTGTTTCTTTAAAAAGCAGTTCTCAGATTGCAATATATTGTCTTTATCCAGGACTCCACAGATCTTATTCTGAGCTGAAAGAGTTTTTGGTTCAAGGTGCAGCAAGGGAAGTTTAGGTTAGGTATTAGGGGAAAAAATACCTCTCATGAGGAGGGTAAATAAAGCACTGGAACAAGGTACCCAGAGAGGCTGTGGAATTTCCATCCTTGGAGGTTTTTAACATTCAGCTAGACAAAGCCTTGGCTGTGATGATGTAGTTGGGGATGATCTTGTTTTGAGCAGGGGGTTGGACTAGACCTCCTGAGGTCCCTCTCAACCCTCATTTTCTATGATTTTCAGTAAAATTTGTTCAGAAATAATATCCTATTATAAGTCCATGCAACTTTTACAGATGATGTGTACCAAGTCATAAACCATGAAAGGACTTGAATTATCTTGAAAGTCAATTCAGACTGTCATATGGGATATTTATAGGCATCTGGGATTTTAAGAAATGGGGAGAAATGGCATGAAAATGAAACTTTCTATAGAGAACAATCATAATAATGACTTAAATCTAATCTGGAGCATCAGTTTCAGATAGCTAGGAGTTAAAAAGTAACGCTAATACAAATGCCATAGAGATGTATTTATATGCCTCATGCAGTCTGAGAAATATATAAATTGCAAATGGGAATTGGTGTGGTCCAGCAGAGGACCATACAATACTGTTCTATCAGCAGAAGTCCATTACTGATGTGTACTATACTTCAATTCTGATTCCCTCTTATGTGATACAATCCACAAACTGCATATTGGTAAACAACGAGTTAATGGGGATGGGAATAATTAGTCATCATGGCTGCATCTGGAGGGGATTAAGTTGAGTCAAAATTATTGGGCACAATTCCAAAAGAGTTGAGCTTCCTGTAAAAGATGCTGGAAAGGCTCAGCTGGGGGAAAAGTCCTGAACGTGGAAGCAGTTTAATTAGAAGCAGACTAACTCCTGGCTTCAGAGCTAAAATACAGGGATAAGACTTAGGAAGGTAGCCCTGTTGGTTGGTGTTCTGCAAGTATAAGGATCTTGAAGATATCTCTAGGAGGAAATACCTAGGAGTGAAGCAGAGGTACACAAGCTAATCTCAAGTACCAGAACAGAAGCCATGGTGCTCTGTACAGGTTTCTCAGTGTAACGTAGCCTGCACAGAACTCCACACTGCTGGGGGTAAGCTGCTGCTGATCTAGCCTGAATATCTCTACATTATCCTGCAATGGAGACATACGCATAGATATGACTATAAACAAAAAGGAACAATAGTCCCACACCACCTTGTTATAAAAGGCTATGCAATCCCCCAGTTCACTGGGTTTCTATTTTCTTGTACACATTTCAGTGGACTTGGTCATTTTTCTCCAAATTACCAAATATGGGCACTACCTATAGCTGAATAGTATGTAGCCACTTAAAACTCAAAATAAATAAGATGCATCCCAAAACATGTCTTCCCAGTGGGTTCCGGCACCTTGATTACACAACCAACCATTTTCCCCATGGTAGAATTCAAAAGGCAGGAAAAGCATGAATCCTTCAACAGAGCATCAAAGCTATCCTGCAAGACGAGCAGAGGATCTCGTTCTATTACAAGCCATATTTTGTGCAATATCTGCACTAACAGTAAATCAGTATAAGGATTCATGGCCTAAATCATGTGTAACTGCCAGATTTCAAGGACAGAGCTCAACCCATATGCCATAGTATCAACATCCTAAATTCAAAAAGCACTGTGTACAGTTCCAACATGCCAAGTTCCAAGGTTTGACATTTGACCTTGTCCTCCCCACTTTCTAGTGGGACCTTATTTGACCACTGAGAGCATGTGCACTGATCATGAAGGGAATATCTATAAGCAATTCTTAAAGGAAACATAAGTAGTTTTTGTTCTTCTTTTATTTTTTTAAGGAATTAAGTTCTTCTAAAATTGTACGAAAGGAACCAAAGAAACTGTCATCTACATTGTATGAAAGGATCTAATTATACTTTATTTGTAAAAACTCTAAGAGTGGCATTTCAGCTCTTCACATATATTGTTCCAATTCACCCTTGTGTGTGGGCATTAAGGCCAAATAAATACGATTTCAATGAAGGTTTTACTCCATTTTAATGACTTCTATATGTTCAACATTTCATGTAGCTTTTTTCTGTACCAGTTATGTTCTATAGCAAGTGCAATCAAAAAAAAAAGCAAAAAAAAAAAAAAAAAAAAAAAA